ATTTAAATCTATCCGTTTACAAAATACCAAATGAAACTTTTCGTCATCTTAAAGTTCACATTTCCATCCATGGTATATCTATGGTACATTTTTGGTCGGCTCCAAAGTGACTCCATCAGTGACTCTCATTCCAATAATCTAGCTTGTAGCTCACTCCGTTTGTACAATACAAATTATTCAATTTTAGCACATTTGAGTAATTTTCGTACCATTTTATTACGCATTTCTAAAAACCCAGCCTTGTCATATGGCTACGCACCAAAACGGACTCTAGTGCAAAATTTCTGGGCATTGATTCTCAGTCAGTTATACTCTCTATTATATATACTCTTTTATATATAGAAAATACAGTTTCTTCAACAAATTCGATTTCTTTATTTATTTTTAACCTCCAAAAATTTAGTTTTTCCTGCTCTAAAAAAAATTGTGTTTACTTTTTGCTTCAGTTTAATTTGTACGAAACAATTTACCTCAATAATGCCATTAAAAAATTTTTGATACCCTTATTTTGTGGTACACAAACCTGTTCGTTACCACTGTCTGTCTGTCCGTCTGTCAACTGACAAACAAATGTGAATTATAATTGATGCATAATGTACGGCATCAAGTTATTAGTAATTTTTGGTGTTTTCATAATGGTTTCTTTATTCCAGGAATAAGAACAAAAAACACGAACACACACACACATACACATGCACATGAACCCTAATTTAACAACAATGTGGGTGGTTGGTTGTTGTCGACGAGTACATAAATGGCTGGTTCACTTTTCGTCGTTGCCTTGGCAATGCTAAACGTTTGAATGCGTAATAACTAATTTTATGCTCGATATGTGTAGGTTCTTGCGGTATGCGCGCATGTAGTTGTTGGTCTTTTTTCTGTAGGTCTTGGTTTTGTTTTGCTTTTTGCTCTGAACACAAAACCACACGTACACACTCGCACAAATTATAAATAATGTCGGCTAAGGGACCGTACACCAAACGTGTGTGTGTGTGTGGGAGGGAATGGAGTGAGTTTGTGTCTTTCTTTGTTGCTCAACTTTCTCATCACCCTCAAAGGACATTTGAACTCTTCAAGGTTAGTTGGTGGCAGTGGGTACGCTGGTGCTGCACTACCGCTGCCAGAAGACGTTTATATGCGCTGCGAGGTTTCTAATGGAAAATTATACCTTTGGGGCATAAAACTATAAATGTTGAGGGAGTTAGTGTTTCTGCTTTTTTTTTTTTTGGGCAATGTGTTGCTGGGACGTGCATTAGAAGGGGGCTTTTCTTGCTATTCAAGGCCACTTTCATTTTTTTATTATTTCCAGTATAAATATGTCACATATTTAACTATTTAAATTGAGTTTCGGGGTATGGTTTCTAGGGTTTAATTATTAGAATTTTTAATGACATTTAACAGAATGTAATATTTATAAAAAAATATAACTATCTGTTAAACCTAGATATATGGTTTACTCTGAGTTTTACAGTGACGTTTTGTGCAAGATATCTCATATTCTGACACTTTCGGCCTGTAACTTTCATGCATTAGCTCGAAGAAAACCGAGAAAAAATTTATCAAACAGTTAGGAAATATTTTCGCAATTATTGTCGGTTTTCATATACATTTAGAATGGAGGTGGGGTTTGGGTCAGAATAGAAGTCCATTGTTTGAAGATATTCGCAAATTATTTAGTTGTTGAAATGGACCAAAAACTGCAATAACTCCACAGTTCACAATTAAAGACCAATCAACACGGAATATCGATCCATACCTTCGGGTACCTCCCCCACAAAAGGTCGAAATTTTCCAAAATTATTTTTTGGCACTGAAAGAGAAACGATAATCTGATTTTGCTCCAGCTTTGCAAATCCTAATATTTATATCAGTGCTATGTCAGGTGAAAATGGACAATATCGGTCCATTCCATCAAGTACCTCTTCCACAAAGAGTCAAAATTTAGAACAATAACAACTCTTATAAAATTTGATTTAAGAGTGCGATTGTCTTCAATTTTCACACATCGCAATAATTTTATTAACTCAAGGACTGGGGCCAAGATTTACTACATCGGGCCACCCCTTCTGGTACCTCCTCCTCAAAAGGTCGAAATTTTCAAAAAAAAAAAAAAAAAAAAAAAAAAAACACAAAAAAATATTTTACTGCACAGAAAGAGAAAGGATAATCCGATTTTGCTCTAACTTGGAAAATCCTAATATTTGTTTCAGTTCTAGGTCAGGTGCAAAAATTAATAATATCGGTCCACTCCATCAAGTCCACCTCACCCAGAAAGGGTCAATTTTTTAAACAACCAAAACGTTTATAAAACCCGAAATAAGCATCAGGCTCTCTTTATATTTCACACATCCCCTTATGTTCACTAACAAAAGATCTGTTGTGAAGATGGGATATATCGGTCCACTCCTTCTGGTACCTCCCCCACAAAAAACTCAAAAAAAAAGCGAAATAAGCATCCAACTCTCCTCAAATTTCACAAATACAAACATTTTTGTTTTCTGTTGTGCAGATGATATATATCTGTGAACCCCCTCTCGTACCTCGTTCACAAAGGGTCACAATTTTCAATATCTTTATCTGTCATAACTTGCGAAACAAGTCAGCGATTCTTTACAACTTGCTACATCTAAATATATCTCTCTTTGCCACAAACCTGAGACGAATATTGAATTTATGATTTTCCATAAGAGATGAAGCATGAAAATGGAATTATTCAATCGCCTATATCTGGTAGGGGTTAAATATTTGAATAATCATAACCGAAGTCAAAATAATTTTAAGTAATAGTACATTGGCTGAGGGTAAAGCCGACAGATACTCTTTAACTTGTTATACTCTCCACCATACATAGTATGGAGGGTATATTAAGTTCGTCATTCCGTTTGTAACTCATCGAAATAATCATTCTAGACCCAACAAAGTATATATATTCATGATCAGCGTAAAATTCTAAGACGATTTAGCCCTGTACGTCCGTCTGTCCGTTGTCCGTCTGTCCGTCTGTTGTAATCACGCTATAGTCTAAACGAATTAAGATAGGAAGCTAAAAATTTGCACAGATCTCTCTTTTGTCTACAGGCAGGTCAAGTTCGAAGATGGGCTATATCGGTCCACGATATCGTATAGCCCCCACATAACGGTACCATCGGATATTCGATATTTTGAAGATGTTAGCCACATTTTTCAATGAAATTGTCTGAAAATTCACACAAGTAGTTCCTTGTGAATAATTTACCCCGTGAGAGAGAATTGTCTATATATGTCCACGATATCATATATCCCCCATATAACGGTACCCCCGATATTCGGTATTTTGATAACTTTACCCACACTTTTCAACGGAATTGTCTGAAAATCCAAACAAGAAGTTCCTTGTGGGTACTTTATACCTCGGCAGAGAATTGTCTATATAGGTCCATGATATCGTATAGCCCCCATATAACGGTACCCCCCGGTATTCGGTATTTTGACGATTTTAGCCACATTTTTCAATGGAAGTGTCTGAAATTCCGCAAAAGGAGTCCCTTGTGAGAATTCTACCCTCTGAAAAAGAATTGTCTATATAAGTCCACGATATCGTATATCCCCCATATAACTGTACCCCCCGATATTCGGTGTTTTGATGATGTTAGCCACATTTTTCAACGGAATTGTCTGAAAATCCATGCAAGGAGTTCCTTATGGGTACTTTATACCTCGGAAGAGAATTATCTATATAGGTCCATGATATCGTATAGCCCCCATATAACGGTACCCCCCGGTATTCGGTATTTTGACGATTTTAGCCACATTTTTCAATGGAAGTGTCTGAAATTCCGCAAAAGGAGTCCCTTGTGAGAATTCTACCCTCTGAAAAAGAATTGTCTATATAAGTCCACGATATCGTATAGCCCCCATATAACGCTACCCTCGATATTCGGTATTTTGATAGTAGTTTGATGATTTTAGCCACTTTTTCCAATGGAATTATCTGAAAATCCACACAAGGAGTTCCTTGTGAGTACTTTACACCCAGACATAGATTTGTCTTAATAGGTCCACAATATCATATATACCCCCATATATCGGCACCTTTCTATATTAGATATTGTAAAGATTTAAAATAAAATTTAATGGATTTTATTTTTTTTTTTTTTTGAAAATTTTTTAATTCGTTCCAAATGGTGGAGGGTATTCAAAGTTCGGCCCGGCGGAACTTACTGTTTTTTTACTTGTTTTTTAATAAGCTCTACTTTTATAATCTTCGTTTTTCCTGTAATTATTGGAAAAATTGAATTTTGAGGCATATCGTAATCTAAAAAAAAATCTTTTATTCATAGGAGACTTGAGAGCTACCATCTTTCTATGGTAGGACTACAAGGCGTTTTCAATCTATTGAAGTGCAGAAAGAGGTATTCAAACCATAGCGCGCCTGAAAAAATGTCATATAAACATAAATAATCTCCTATTCATAGACCAGAAAGAGAACGCTGTTTTATTCAGGATTGAAATAAAAATCTATCCATTTAGATTGCTATAGAAGCCTCCTGTCCATATAAACCCTAAAATGGTATTCCATCTATAGGACTTAATTTTTTCATTTTCTTCTGACCTCTAGGATGTTTTTTACGTTGTTGTAACCACAGAAGGACTGAAAGGCGTCTTCAAAAGACTTCTATATCTATCAACAGAAAATATGAATAAGGCATTTTATCTACAGAATAGTGACTCCAGCCATTCACCACATATCTGCTAACAAAAATCAAATCTTAAAGCCTTTTTCAAACCTAATACAAAATAAATTGTGCGGAAAATATTTGTTGTATTGGGACACAACTGTTTAGGTCTGCCTAATCCCATTTTTTTCATTTCTCTCCAAACCTACAGTATTTCTTTATTTTATTTAGAGTGATCTCCATAAAAATATGATAATAGCTTTTTAGAGGCAGCTATAAAATAAAATGTAACAAAAACATTTACTTAAAATGTGTTGATGGAGAAGCTGTTAGGAAAAAACTTACCTTTTTAGAGTTGCCAAGAAACTTTCTTATGGAAACTGCAAATAAAAGAAAAAAATATGTTAATATATAAATCAAAAGAAAGAGGAACAAAAAATTGAGTAAAAAAGGTTGAGGATAAAATATGTGGCATTCATTAGCGTAGGAAGTAATCTGAGAGAGGGGGATTAAAATGACATAATTTAAAAGAGGCTTTCTCAGGATTTTGTTATTTGAAGGGACAAAATATAACAGGCTTAATATTTTACGAAGAATAGAAATATTAAATTATAACAATTAAGAATTTCATCTTTTAAGCCTTTTTTCATTTTTCTATTTCTATGTACATTTCTTAAACTGTTATATTTTGCACCTTCAAAAAAATCTCCCTTCAAAAAAAATTAAAGCTACGCCCTTCATAAAAATCCGACCAGACAAAGATTTATCATTGAAAACGAATTGAGGCACGCCCCAATACCATTACTTATGTTATTCACTCTGTGCCAAAGCGAAATCAAATTAAATGTTATAAAAGAAACACAAACTTTACAAAATAACAAATAAATGGAGTACATTTTAAAGAAGCGAAAAATGGAACCCAAGCACATGACAGACATTTAAAGAAAGATATTGAAAAAAAGAACTTAAGAAAGTGTTTTCATGTTAATTTAGTTAGCCCACCCATACACCTGGCACCTTTAAACCCAGCCAACCAACCCTGCCAGTCAACCTATCAAATATTCAGTTAACCAAGCTCTCGCATTCATCTACTGTCTGCCACTCATTCATGTACCCCTTCGTACTGCCTTCGGGTAAGATGGAAAAGCGTGTTTGACTCGCCACGAAATGCAAATAATTTTAAATATGCCAAGAATTGTTCCCACGTCAAATGCAAAGAAGAAAAATGCGTAAGAAGACTAAACGAAGTAATTTGAGTAAGTGGCTGACTGAATGGCTGGCCCACCAGCTGCCAGAATGATGGAGGCAGCAAGCCTGCCAATGAAATCACTAGAACGATGTGATAACAAATGAATGAAATTTCAATATTTTAGTCTGCGCCATGGACACGTTTGGGGAACGCGTGAATGAATGACGTACAAAATGAACTGTTTAAAGTACACACACACACACAAACACACTTTCAACGCCTACACAGGAAATGGGTCAAATTTGTTGGTACACAAACATTTAAGAGGCTTTTATTTGTTCTTAGACAGTGAGAATTAGTTATTTGGGTAAAGAAAAAAGTTAAACTTTAACTTTATAATAAAATTTCAGGTTATGGGTTATGGATCAAATTTCAAGATTTTCAATTATTATATCCCACAAAAAAGTTCAAAATTCCAGAAGAGAATAGTTCAAGTTTTTCTCAGCTCAATATTTGAAGGAGCCTTAGGTAATGTGAGAAATGGACGAAATTGGTTCATTACTTTTGACACCTCACCTACACAGGGTCAAAGATATCTGTTGAAACTTTAATATCATGAATGCTCTTTGAAAGTTTTTTTGTAGGAGATTTCTTAAATGTGATCTATTTATAGAAGAATTGTTAAGGTCTTTCTATCTATGGAAGATCTTCTATATATTTTCTCACTAAAAAATATGTTTTCTATAAGGCTTCATCGAAGGAATGACAGTTTATAAGTCCTCTGTCCACCAAAGGTCTTTTAAGGCACTTTATCCTTCGAAAAACAGAAGGTCTTTTGAATACCACACATACCAATATTTTGAGAATGGAAAATCCCTTAAATGTTTTCTCACCAGAAAATAGGGTTTCAAGGTCTTCTATCTAGAAAGGTCTTCTATCATGGTATTGTATCATTAAACAAGTAGGCAGAGGCTATAGACGTGCGGGCGGACCATGTGATACCCTACAACACCAGAATAAATAGGAAAACCTCATAAGGTCCAAACCCATTTTCTTCGATTATTTGAAATAATATCATACCGTCCTAAACAAATGTTACCCTTGTTATACCCTACAACACTATGTGTTGGGGGTATTATAAGTTTGATTGGGCCAGAATTTATGTAACACCTCGAAATATTGGTTTCGCCGAGCTGAGTCGACCTAGCTATGTATGTCCGTCCGTCCGTCTGTCCATGTTAATTTGTAATCACGCTACAGGTCGCAATTATGGCCCGATCCTTACGAAATTTTGCACGAAGGTGGGGTTAGGGTCAGAATAGAAGCCTATTTCTTTTGGAGATGATCGCCAAATGTTTAGGGGTTGAAATGGACCAAATACTGAAAAAATGTCGGATTTTGCAGTAGCTATACAGGTCGCAATTATAGACCAATCGACACCATATATTTTGTGTTGAAAAATTCAAAATTTTTCGTAATCCCGCCGAAATCACAAAGCCATGACAAGGTTACTTCCGATCTTTACATTGATGTTAACATCCAACAAATCGGATATATAGAAAAATATGTGCGATATATATGTCTATCAAAGAAGATATGCTTGAAAATCACAAAGCCATGACAAGGTTACTTCCGATCTTTACATTGATGTTAACATCCAACAAATCGGATATATAGCAAAATATGTGCGATATATATGTCTATCAAAGAAGATATGCTTGAAAGATCTCTTATATGTCGAGAACGGCTGAACTGATTTCGACAGTTCTCATTAATTCAGAATGGCCTCTTGGCAGGAAAGAAAAAACGTCTAAAAAAATCGCATAAAAAATATCTCTCTAAAGATGAAAATATTGATTTTGTAATATTTTCTCATATTTTTTCAATTTTGTCATATTTTTGGCATATTTTCATTTTGAATTAAACATTTGGTAATATTTCTACAGCTAACAAAATTAAGTAGTTAGGATATCAGGATATCATATACAGATCGCATTTATGGCCCGATCCTTACGAAATTTTGCATGGGGATAAGATGAGGGTCAGAATAGAAGCCTACTCTTTTTGGAGATGATCGCCAGCAGGTCGTAATTATCGTCCGATCCTCACGCACATTTGAATGGGGGTTACCGGACATTGCAAAAGCCAATCAGTTTTGGATGGCCATTCAAAAATATTCAATGTGTGAAATAGTTTGCCAACTTTTGTAGACAAAATACTAAAATGTCCATTTCAGAGGCTTTTTGGAGAATTCACAAATACAGGAAAGACGCACTTCTGACTATTTCGTTAACGCTGATTTAATTGAAGAATATAGTCAAATGTCTGTATCTCATATAGATGCAGTCAAAAACCAATAATAAATGTTAATCTTTTGCCACTTCTGAGAGATTATAGGTCTTTGGGAAATATTGGTTCCAGATCTAGGAAGACAATTTAATTACCAATAAATTGGAAATGAGCAAATTAGTTTAAGTTGATATTATTCGAAAATTAGAGAACGAAATCTGATGGTTTTCTTTTATTATTTGTCACAATATCTTGTGGAATTCTTTCGAGTTTCTCGCCTATATAAACAGAATCGTTTATTATAGTGCTGTAGGGTATTCAACGGTCGGCCCCGCTCGACTGTAGCCTTTGCTTACTTGTTTTTTTTATCGGGAATATTTTCCTTATATTAAGACTCAATGTCGTGCTGCTAGGTGCCCAAAATAATTTCACACAAAAGTTGAGGTCCATTTTACCCTTTAAATATAATTCAAAGGTCGTCCAAAATTCTACACTTCTGCGCTGTTCTAAACCCCATCCTATTGGTTTATAATTGTGACCTGCAGAACCACTGCAATATCAGGAAACTTTGGTCCATTTGAAGCCCTAAATATACAGAGTGAGATGAAAAAACTACCGCCAACTTCAGACGGCTGTCATTTTTAAGCTACTCGTCCGACAGCTGTTAAAATTTTTCAGGTGACAGCTCATTATATTGTTTACAAGCATACAAAAGCAATTTGGTGGTGAGAATTTTCCAGAAAAAAAATTATTCGTGACGGAATTCAAGCGTGATAGTGTGATTTCTTTATATTTGGCTGGAAAACCACAAGTAGCTATCGTTAGAGCACTCCAGCATTTAAATGTGAATAAAACTTTTGTGTCTCGCACCATCGCTCGTTGTCCTAATACTGGTAATGTAATTCGACGTCAAAGAAGTGACTCGTGAGCTGAACATATCGCAATATTCCATTCAGCAAATATTGAAAAATGAGCTCTAGGTAAAGCCAAGAATGGTTACAAAATGAGGTTACTCGCTTCAGTTCCAGCGCACAATAGCCACCATCGCCACCAAATCTCCGGATACCAATCCGTTGGACTATTATGTCTGGAGTATTTTGTAAAGTGAGGTTGGCACTAAAAATACCAAAGTGTCGATCACCTCAAGCAAGTGCTTCGCCGGGAATGGGCCAAAATACCGCAGAGCAACATTCGGGCAGCGTGTGACGGTTTCATTGGCCGTTTAAAGGCCATAAATCGTACCAAAAGTGGCCAATTCGAACAAATGCAAACTTATTCTAAAATTTGATGCTATATACGACATTTTTTGCGTTTTTTCAATAAAATTTAATAAAAAATGTAATAATTATGGCGTTCGACTTTGTTGCAGTTTTTTATGTCACCCTGTATTATAATATCTTTTCCTATTATACCTAATTTTAACATAAAATAAATACTACAATACCCCTTTAAGCAATGACCTGCAAATATTTCATTAAAAAAAATTCTTGGCAACAGATGTCCAACTCAGTCTACTAATTTACCCAAATTAAAATATTTAAAATACATGCCCCAAATGTGAATAATTTGGTAAATACTGAAGAAAAAACTTTTGGCACAAAAACATTAAACATTTAAAAGTACACAGACGCACACATATTTACGCACATTTCAACATCTGTAAAAAAAACGAAAACGAACAAAAGTACTCAATTGGGCGAAAATATACAATTCGAAATAAAACGAGAGAAAAAAAAAGCAATCCCACAACCACACCAAAGACAAACGTCTGGGCATGTTGGATAAATATGTTGAGGCAAAACTTGGATGGAAACCGCAGTGACGTTTGATTGATATTTACAATTTCATGTGTTTCTTTTTTTCTGGGTTTCTTTCCCAGAATGTCGTATGGTGATGAATTTG